GGAAGTGGTGCGGCACATCCTCAGGAACACGCTCCACGCCACGTCCGTGAGAAACGAGCTGTCAGAAGTGGGGGAACTGCTGGAGGATGTTGTCGCGGACTTTGGTGCCTCCATCAGACTCCGAGACAGCGCGGGGATAGCAGAGGGGAGGGACGCGCTTATGGAAGCAGTGAACATCCTGGACGAGATCGTCATGAACTACGACGCGGCGCATGACGAGTTCACCATGGACCCAGCAACACTGCAGGATGACCTCCTCCGACTGGCGCAACAACTCCAGATTGTGGTCCCGGCCCATAACAACCTCCTGGGGGACATCAGGGGAGAACTCCCCTCGCAAAGGCCGTCTTCCAACGCGCAGGAGCTCTATGAGGGGTACGGGGACGAGTTAGGCCTCACGCAGCAACTGGGGGGACAACGAGGGGAACACCACATACAGCGACCCCAAACGTGGACCGACCTCCTCATCCAATGCCGCCACGCGGGTGTCCACCAGTTACTCTGCCGCCTTCACCGTCCGGGGCCCGACCCGGCGGGGGACACAGAAGAAGGACATCGATGCGCCCTCCAACTTCTGTCAGTCCTCGAGCGCGAGTTCCCCGAAAGTTACCGTAGCAACGGACAATGCGAAGCAGATGCAATTTGGCTACTCCTTCGAGGGGGAGACTGGCTGAATATATTGACGGCATGAACCTACCTGCGGAAGAACGAGTACGAGGGGGGCAAGATGACGAGCATCCGGGCCTGCGGGGAGCCTACCAGTACCACGAGGGGAATGCGAGGGATGGAGCAATGGGGAGGCACACAACGCAAGACCGGGGCGCCGACAGAGACCAAAACAGCCACCCCGAAGACTTCGAACCCACTGCCTTGATGCAGACCTCGCTGAGGGGAAGACCAGTAAGGGGAGACCCCCCCACATCGCCAGCCACGGATACCGCGTGCACCTCTACCTCAACGACAACCACGCCGCAGCAAGGGGAAGACCCCGCCAAACCCACGACCCCAGTAACGCCGAAGAGGAGCAGAAGCCCATCCAGAAGGGGAGAAAACCGCACAGCGACAACGACCGGAGGGGAGCAGTAGACCCCCAGCCCCGTCCGCCGCGCCAGAAGCCAAGCCTCGCAGCTCATGGCGTCCATCACCTCGGAGACACAAGCAGCTGCGGAATACGCCCCCAATGCCGAAGAGCTGGGGGGACAAAGACGCGCGGACGCAGCAGCAGAGGCGCTGGACCTCATCACAGAAGCAATGGGGATGGCCAACGACGTGGGGATGCCGGGGGTCGTCGACTACCTCTCAGCCGCAGCCACCAGGCTATCGCAACTCCACTTAATCCGGAGGCCGGGGACGAATCGTGGGGGACGACCGCTACCTACACCCAACGCCTTCGAGATCGCAGCGCTCACAGTGGGTATCATGGAGGAGAGCGCACAACAGGGGGAGCCGCCATCCATGGCGGAACTACTGGAGCTACTGGAACTTGTACAAGCAGGCATGGCGCTTCTTACCAGGGGGAGACATAGCTACAACTGGCAGGTTACTCACTGGGCTACGGATGCAGCAGAAGAAGCCCTGGCATTGCTGACAGTGGCCACAGCGACAGACCATGTGGGAGAACTTCAACAAGCTCAACCAGATGTGGGGGACGCACTCCCAAGACTACGCAACCTCCTGGACGAGGCAGCAACAGGAGTGGGGGTCCTAGTGGGGATATACCCGCATCGGGGAGAAGCTGAGCAAATTCACCCAGCAGACGCCATAGCCCAACAAGAGGACCGGCACCAACAAGTTCAACATCCTCGCCAAGACCCGCCAGATGCCCTACATATTTACAAAGCACAACGCTATCTACGTCAACTCATTCCCTTCCTCGACGGGGACATGCGGGAGCTGGGGAACAACGCGCTCACGCATCTGGGGGACTGGATCCGGTCCCACTGGGGAGAGTCAGTCCAACTCCTCAGCAGCCACGACGAAACAAGCCAACCAGAACAAGGGCGTCCTGCACGACCAACAGTCGACGAGGAAGAGGGGGGCCAAAGCCTCAGGGGGACCCCCTACGCAGATGAGGGGGCAGCTGAGACGCTCATGGACCTGACGAGTGGGGCGGCCAGTTCAACGACTCCCTTTACACGATCAGCCGCACCAAGACCTGAGGGGGAGCAACACGAAGCCCCCAGTGAGCCTAGGAGCCGCAGAAGAAGAGCCTTCACCAGCCCAAGCTCGCTCGACAATGACGACTGATTTTACTTCGAAGGGGGTCCTCTGCTTTTGTTTAACCTTACTGGGAGCTACCTATTTACATGTCAGCGAGTGAGGGAGAAGGCAAGCAGCATATGGCATCTTGCTCCCAAAGGGGTCGCGTTCTCAGGATATCGGGTGTCAATTGGGTGCTGCAGTTGATGCCTATATTAAACCCCCACAGGGGGGACAAGAGGCCACAGCTGGGATAGGAAGTTCGCACAAACACATGGGGACAGCGCCCATGGATGAAGGAAGGGGGCCAACTACCCTGTCATGCCGTGTTAAGGAGTTTGTTTGCTGTTGCATGGCCCCCTCCCGACTGAGTCAACAACACGGAATACTCAGAGCGAACTCCCAACAAGTAGAGGCTTCGGGGGTGGGAAGGTCGAGGTAGTGCTGCCGCGAGGTTCTGTTCGGGATTAGGTGGGGAGGCAGGTAGGGTGGGTTAAATCTGGTAGAGTCGCTGAACGAGGGGGCCAGTACGACGAACAGAGACTTGTGTGCAGCTAGGTTGTTGTGTTCCTAGTTCTCAGTAGTTGTCTTTCCACAGTTTGTCGTCGACTGGCACACCCCTGCAACCCCTACAGAGTGGAGCTTTGTGTGGGGACGTCGTAGAAGGAAGTGTGGAGGACCCAGGAAGCACAGAGTGGGGGTGTTACTACGCGGTCACGGTCTTAGCAGGGGTGTTTGTTGGGGGAGGGTTGACTGTGCTTGCCTGGAGGGAACACACTTGCAACACTCCAAAACGGGGTAGCCAGCAGACACAGTTGCGGACCGTGGAGGGGTTGGCCTTCGGGCCGGGGGTCTTGACCCCAAACCCCCAGCAAGCAAGCAAGCAAGAGAGAGAGAGAGATAGAACCATTGCGGACCTCCGGCAACTGTGCACAAGCTAACACTACTACGCAGCTAAGTGGTTGTTGATTTTCCCGAGAGTCTGACATCAGGAGACATTGCCTGGGTTTTGCACCGACAGTTTTTTGTGGTCGGCAGCTGGTGCTCTTGTTGTGTGGGCTGGGTTTGGGGCTAATCACTCTCCCCATGTATTAAATACCCCCCCCTTGCCAAGTAGAACGCGTTGCAGAAACTTCACCCGAAAACATCCCCGCCGTTGAAGACCTATTTTGGATTTTCTGTTGCGCTCGCAAACTTTGTTTTCTAACTGCGCTGCAGCCAATAAGCCATGTTAAGTCCTAGCACAGGCTGCCGGCGATTGGCTTATCGGCTTATTGGCTGGCTGATGGCCTTCTCCTACTCATGAATCTTCTCGGGGAAGCAGATCCGTTCGATAGCGGTAGATTTGCACGAAGTAGGAGGGGGATTCAGCATGACTATGAAGGGGGGGAACTTGTAGTCCGGGACTTGGACAGACTACAAGGGAGCGGGGCTCGTATTCTTGGATTTGGACGAACTATAAGGCATGGGGTGGGGGGCTCGTAGTTCTACAAGGGGAGGGTGGTGCGTAATAACAGCATTATTTTCGATATCTTTGCTTTTCGAAGAAATCATGTTTATCGCCGCTTTCAACCCCCCTAAAGCGAATTCGTGTGATTTTTTCTTCTTGTTTGTCGAGACTCGAGAATAGGTTTGAAGCGCCTAGTCTCGGGGCGAGAAGTAGTAATTGTTGTTGTTGTCGTCCGACACCGAAAACTACAACCCCGCCTCTCATGCTCTTCCTAAATCCAAGACTACAAGCCCCCCGCTCCCTCATACTCATCAGATTTCCAGCAATGTAGGGGCGGGCCGTGCTATCGGACCGGACTCAGGGGAAGAGGCAAGAGGGGCGACGCTCGTTCGTGGAACATCTGCAGGATGGTCTAGCGTCATACGGTGCCGTTCCGATAACGCAACTTGATCGGGCTTCATGGATGGACAGAGGAATCATGTAGCTGCAGGAACCCCCGGAGGGTTTGATTAGAGCGCCGACGCCGACCCGGCACGTTCTCAGAAACGGAGTACTGAACATGGGATATGATAGTGTGTTGGAGTTGCCACGGTTGGCCAGGCGAGGGTGGTGTGGCATGTTTGATCCGGAAAGTTGATCCAGCTGCTTCGAGGACTTGGCGGGACAGAGTCCATCCACGCACAAGGCTAACTTTTGGTTGGCCCACACAGATCCTGAACGAATATCAGGTAAGGCAATTTGTTTGTTGTGTTCGTCGTGTGTTGGACCATGTGGCTTAGACGGCTTGAGCCAATGCCAGGATACATCTTCAAATCGCGATTGTTTCTCCAGGGGTTTGATGACTTCCGCTGCGGAGGCCAAATGTCAAAGGACATTTATTCGCACTTCGTACAACTAATTGCCAGTAAATCTCTCGAACACGTGCACGCACAAGACCCTTGAGGAGCAGCTGCGCTTTGCAGTGCTGGTTCAGCACTTCGTGTCGCAGGATACACTGGATTTTCAACGAACGCGTGCACAAAGAATGCACGACGATGTTTTCGAAGGCCGGTTCAAGCTTGTATGCAATTTGATTGAACTTTGATAGGGCTTACACTTCCCGCGATATCCGACGATCCTCTCGGGTCTCCGGCCAGGTGTTCTCACGCAAGGCGTCAACGCCCAACTCATGACGGATGCTCACCGGGCAGAGTGGGCTGTGGACGGGGTCGCCTTCGTCTTCTCAGACACAAACGACGAGGCTGCGGGGATCATAGCGAACACGCTATGTAAGGACGATGCCTGTCACAAAGTCGGGCTTGCAGGTTCCCAGTTCTGACTTAAGCCTAGGCTTCTGACTGTTCTGTGAAAGCTGCTGAGAAATGCGCGAGCACACTCTGGCAGTTTTACATTATCATGTTCAGGCTCTTCTTCTGAGCACCATGACTGTGATGAGCTGACTGTGCCTTCGGTTTAGACCCTTCGGGTTTAGGCTCTTCGGTTCGCGGTTTCTCTACTGACAAGAAAAGCTTCGACAGGCTTCTCCAGCTTTGATGATGTGTCGTGCCGCCCACCGCCTTAGCCTTCGGAAAGGGGTGACTAGGTAGGGATGGCTTCAGTTTGCCGCAGCGTCCAGGCTGACCCTGGATAGTATATGACACATGATTACGCGCACAAGGCACAGTCGCAGTGCCGAAGTCTGCGTCTCGGTCTTTTTCCCATCCCAGTCTGTGTCCCGTCACAGTCCTCCGTCCTCTGCCGTTGTCGGTCGCTGTTCCGGAGTCTCACTCACTCGACTGCGCTGGTGGCTCCCTTTTCCCCGCCAAGTGCTGATCGGTGTCTGCGGGGTGATGACCTTGTATTTCTTTTGGCCCACCTGCACGCAGAAGAGACCAACCCAGATGCTGAATCGCTCAAGTACCGCTTGTTTGTGGTGTTACCTCCTTCCACGGGTAGCAGGAGAGGAAGCAAGCCCTCCTTGATTTTCGGATGGAGCTCGTGCCGTGGCTGACAAGGCTAAGCCAGAAGAATCAGCTGCCGACATGCAGAAAATCGACCAAGGTTACAGCCCTTGAGCAGTTTCTGATTGACTTCAGCGATCGACGTCAGCTGTCAGAGAACGGCACACTATGCCTCCTTCAGGCTGTCACAACCCAAATGTCGCAACTTGGAGGCTCTAGTCTATGCCGAGGAGCCGAGGCTCGCACACGGAAAGACACTTGGACTTAGGCAGTGCGGACTGGCCAACCTGGACCGCTGTTCCAGAGCAGGCTGGTTTGCTTTCCGCATCAGTGTCGGCTTGAGTGCTCTTGTATCTCTTGTTGGCTGGCGGTGGGATGTGCAGGTGAGTATATGGTCGGAGGGGCACATCTGAAGCAGCACGTGAATTACAACATCTCTTGCAACTTGGCACGTTCCGGAACATGTCCCGGCAGTTCCCGGAAGCTAGAATCCAGGTCAGTTCGTTTTCTATGGTTCCTGACATATTGGAGCTTTTCAGGTTTTGGAGATTAGGTTCGGTCGTGTGGCCTGCGGTTTCAATTCTGGGTTCTTCTGCTTTGCACGAGAGCCCACACCCGTGCCTTCAAACCCTTGTCGGATTGCAAGCGAGAGGGATTGTAAGCGCCCTTCATGCTTTTCTCGTAGCGAAAAAGATTGAGGGGAATAGAAGGACGGAACCTTTCATGCCCAACGGTGGTAGACGGGACAGGGGCCTGCAGGGGGCAGGAGCGGATGCAGCCATTCCTTGAACCTGTGGAAAGAAAGGAAAGGAGTGAAGGAGGGAGGGTAGGGTTGCTTGGAAAATTCATCAAGCAGTTCTTATGCACGTTCTTAGGCCAGCACGCTCGTGGCACGAAAACAGGTTCGTTCTGGGTATAGCTTCCGTTCTCAATTCTTTCCTTCGTGCATGGATCCCTGTGTAGGCAGCACGACAGAGCCGAGAAGAATTTAAGACGTCAGACTTGTACACCTTGAGGTATGGACGCTGGCCCCTTGGGGGAGGCCTTGAAGCTAACACTGGGCTGCCTCAAGGAAGGCTTCCAGTTCCTCCAGCGGACAGTACGAACTCACATCGAGGATGGTGCTGGCGACGACATGTCTACACAAGGTGCATTGATGCAGTGGAGAAGGGCAATTAAACTCGTGTAGAACGCGGGCTCTCTTGTTGCGTTCTTTCTTTGATGAGAGTTCCGTTCTGGCTCAATGCAAAGCGCTCGTTCGTGCGATTGAGACCCCGCTCGGTGATCAGGTTGCGACCCGTCGTCACGGATGTACCAGTGTGCGACGCTGAGGTTCACGACCAAGCCGGGCCTGGAAGCTTCACTGTTTAGAGTGTTAAGCTTGTTGAGCCCCTTAGCTGCTCTGACAAGCGAGAAGATGGCTCCATGTCTGGAGTGCATCCTAAGGAATCGCCGCACGGCCAAGACGAGATCCTATGTGACGTTTTAGACGTCTACGACGAAGTATTCATCAAAGAGACTTGACGAGTGGTGCTGAGACACCAAAAGTGGCATCTGCGCGCGGCTAGCTTAGGAACTCTCCGTGCAAGATTCCTTGCGCTGAGCACGCAGATGCAACAGAGCAAGGCTGATATAAGCTGCTGCATGTGAGTACGCAGGCGCTGCGAAGCATGGGGACAAGGCCATCAGAGAAGCTCTGAGCTTTTCTCGTCCTGAAGCAAAGTCGCCGGACCTGGACTTGAATGGAATGGATTGAAAAGCTTATGTCGTGAACTATGGCATGCGGAGTGTATTTTGCCACGGGTTGTCGTGTATGTTGGTGTGCTTGAGGTTGTGGAGTTGCACGGCTGTAGGGGTTTCGGGTTGTAGGACTGGGTTTACAGGTCGGACGCTTCGAGCACCTGTGAGAGAGAGAGAGAGAGAGAGAGAGAGCAGAACTGTGAAAACATCGAAGAAATGCAACAACACACGTGGCGAACTACACTTCGCATTCCAACTAGCCGCTACTCCTCAGGTTTTGCATGTGGCGTGTATTCTGCTGCACGTTGTTGTGTATGTTTGTGTGCCAAAGCCCACTTTGAAGCTACTTGAGGACTCCGAGGACTCTGGAGCTTTCGAAAACTACTGTAGCAGGTATGACTCGGAGACGTTCAAGGGATGCTATTTTTGCGGGCTTGAGGATTCTGGAAGGGCTTCCAGGGTTTCGGCTTAAGAGATCTTCAGGGTATATAGGGTTTAGGTATCAGGGCTTGAAGTTTTGGGCTTGCACGGCTGTAGGTGTTTTAGCGTTTTGGGACTGGGTTTGTGGCTTCAGGTTTTCGGCTGGCACCGTCCGGATTTAGGTTGACTCGAGGGTTAAGGGTTTACAGGGTTTTAGGCTTTGGGTATACAGTCAAGATCTTTCTTTTCCCCACCTCACCCTCTCACCGGACACTTCACGACCATGTTGGTCAATAGTTAAATATAGAATATGATATACCAATCATGAATCAAAACTATTTATTCGGAACCGAGATCATTCTTATTCTCCTCCTTGTCCTCTCTGCCTGCCCTATATGATGCTACGTATTTCTGAATTGAAATGGAAATAATTTATGAATTCCGGAGCACGAATCGAACATTTGAATTATTATTGCTTATGAGAAGAATGGTACATGCTGGAGGCCCTGTTTCTCGAGTATTTTGCTAGTTTTAATGTTTATTTTGCATGATTTTTGTATGTGTGTTGTTATTGTTAAATATTTCATGCTTTTGCTGTTGCTACTGTCGATGTTGTGTTACCTTTGCTATAGATTATACCTTTGCCATTATTACTGCTGTTTCTTGCTCGGATGGGGCGTTCGATATTGTGCTGATTTTCTTACTATTCTTCTTAAGCGAGTGGTGATACGAACGATATGGCTTCTTATTATATATCACTCAGGGCGATATAACACCTAACTCTTAACCTGGTAGTATTTAAGTTTCCACTAGTTATTTCACTCTAGGTATATGACTTTGTGTGCAGAGAAAAGACCGTATCTGACATTATAATGATATATTTGTATATGACACCGCTATCTATTTGTATTAATACTTATTTAGATGGATAGATTTGCGATATGGCAAAGATTTCAATATTATAGAGAAGTAAGTAAATCGATAAGCCGACAGCAATTAATAATATGATATATATTAAAATTTAGCTGAATCGTAAAGATAATGGAGTTGAAGAAATCCCAAGTTATGAAATTAGATAATAGCCCTGAAAGCTATATCTTTTAAGGCAGATTATGGATTGATTATGAATGGAAAATCCAAAGTGTTATAATTAATAAATATCACCATAGATAATTTTGATAGGGATATATGATATCTAAACCATATCCGAATCCTAGAAAATTATTGATTATGGATTAATGTCCATCTAAATATTGGAGATCGATATCTTTCCAAATTCAAATTATTCGCTATTATGGATTCCAAATTCATTTCTCGATAAGCGAGATCATCAGCCTTCTCAATTGACTAAATTTATTTGGGTCGTCACCTATCTAATGTATGTTTTGTTGGCTATGGGTCAATACCCANNTTGGCGAAGCTCGACAAGAAATAAATTTCATGACCTGTTATTGGGAATTAATATCCATTCTCCATTCAAATTCAATTTTGATGTCGTCTAAATATGATTTATAATTCTTTTGGATCACTATTACAGAATTTGCTATTCTTTTTAGATCATTACCTATCGATATAAAATTAATTGATATTGAAGATCTTCTGATCCAAATTCTATTTTCTATATCATAGATGAATGCCTATTCTATTTTCAATTAGATCTTGTCTTCTTATCAATGCCCATCCGAATTTATATTTTGGTAAGGCATACCAATAGCAATTCAATATTATTCGACGTCGTGTCTATCCATATTCAAATTGTTCTAGCTATAGAAGCTTTGCCATCCCAATTCGTTCGTTGTTATATATCAATATCGTCCAACACCGTTTTTTGCTATGGGTCAATGTCCATCCAAGTTCAAATATATGGGTGAGGCATGGTATATATCTATATTCACTATAATGATATTGTGAGTCCTTATCCATCAGAAATCAATTTTATATTGTTGTGAGGCAAAAACCGGGCATGTATTATATTACTTTCTCCCGAACATAACATACAGGTCCGAATTTTCAGTGGGTTGCATATATACGTCCTTTGATCCTTTGTCCATATCTAGCTTTTTTTACATTGTTCATCGACACGAGCTGTAGTATTTCACCTATTGGATGGACTGAGATTGGATCGCAGTCTACATCTTTTGTATCTTATCTATTTCTGTTGATATAATCTAGCTACTGGGTCCCGTCTTTTCGTCGGAGAGCTCCGCGCGCCC